GCCAGCGGGGGGCGCCGGGGCTGCGTTATTGACCCGCTACTGGGGCTCCCCCCGACTCGCTCTGTTTTCCCCTCAGAGAAGGCGAAGCGCTTCTTCCAGGAGTTTTACCGCGATGGGCCCGACGGGCGCAAGGAGTTCCCGTACCGGGAGCAGCTGGTGAGGGCGGCGCCCCCGAATTTACCCGGAATCGCCTCAAATCCCCTCAGCTTTCACCCTGAGCCCCCCAGGTTCTGCCCTATTCCCTCCCAGCCCCACAAATCCCACCCCCATCCCCTTCCCACCCACCCCAAATCTCCCCGGACCCCCACAAATCCTCATAAACTCCTTTCCACCGCCCCAAATCCTCCCCAGATTCCTTCCAAATCCCCATTTTCATCCCAAAACCTCCATTTTCACCCCAAAAGCCCTTTCCCCCCACCAGCCTTCCCTTTTTTCACCCCCACAATCCCCATTTTCACCCCCAAAATCCCCTTTATCCACCTTAAACTCCCCTTTTTTCAACCCCAAACCCCTTTTTCACTCCCAAACTCTTTTTTTCACCCCACAACCCCCATTTTCACCCCAAAACCCATTTCTCACTCCCTAAACCCCTTTTTCTTTCCCAAACCTCCATTTTCCCCACCAAACCCCCATTTCCCCCCAAAACCCCATTTCCCCTCCCTGAAACCTTATTTTCTCCCCAAATTCCCCATTTTTCACTCCCCACGCTCCATTTTTTCCCCAATTACCTTTTTTACCTCAAATTCCCTTTTTTTCCCCCCCAAATTCCCTATTTTTCACTCCCCAAACGCTTTTTTCCCCCTAAACTCCCCATTTCCCTCCCTAAATCTCCCAATTTCCCCCCCCAAAATCCCCATTTTCCCCTCCAAACTCCATTTTTCACCCCAAACTCCCTATTTCTCCCCCAAAACCCCATTTTTCATTCCCAACCCCCATTTCTCACTCCCCAAATTCCCTTTTCCCCCCAAATTCCCCGTTTTTCACTCCCCAACCCCATTTTCCACTGCCAACCCCCCATTTTTCATCCCAAAATCCCATTTTCCCTCCCCAAAGTCCTTGTTATCCCCCAAAACCCTCCCCAAATTCCCTTTTTTTCCCCCAAACTCCCCATGTTTCCCCCCAAACTCCCCTGTTTTCCCCGCCAAGCCCTCACTTTCACCGAAATCCCCATGTTTCCTCCCAAACCCATTTTTCCCCCCAAACTTCCCGTTCCCCCCCCA